GGGGGGGGGGGGGCAGTGTGCTTGCTCCCCAGTGGACCCAGAAGTGGATCAGAAGTGCTTCCAGTTCACTTCCAGGTTCGCTCCCAAGCATGGGGGGGGGCACACTCCTTTGGGACGCTCCATCCACCCCAGCATCGCAGCATTCGTGAGTCGCGCCTGGTACCTTAAGGTATGTAGAAAAAACTTTTAAAGCTGTGTCTTTGTCCAAATCGCTGGTTCTCTGAATCAGCATCGACTCTTCAGATTCGGATTTGGCCAAATCGAATCAGGAACAGTGATCCGAATCAACAAACTGAATCGTTGTCCCCGATTCAGGCCGCATCCGAATCCGAATCAAACAGGGCCCATTTCGCAAACCCCTACTGACAAGGTACATGGCTGCAGAGTGCTTCAAAAGTGCCCAATCATGTGACAAATTAACCCTCATTACATGAGGGTTCAAATGAAAGTGCTCAGAAGCACAGCAACTTCGTTAACTTTGTCTGACCAGTGAGAGAGGTGAGAAGGGAGGGGAGGGAGCTTGGGCTGGGGTTTGGTCAGCCTGTGCTGGCAGGGGGACCAGAGTCCCCCTTGCCTAGGCAGGAAGCCTCCAATCCACCCATCCCCTGTCCAGAACAGCCTGGGTAACCGCACATGCAGACAACACTGGAGCTTGCGGAGGGGGGGAAGGGGCAGTGGTAGAGCTAGGGGAGAGAAGATGAAGACATGCAACAGTGAATATCTGTTAGGTCAGGAGGGTCAGGGTAACTCATGACCCTTTCTGTGAAGCATCATGGGTTAGACTGGGGAGCTCCAAGTCTGTCAGCGCCCTAGTTCCCAGGATACAAGTGTAGGCAACTCACAAGCTCCTACCTCATAGCCCTTCCCCATACAAACAACAGTTACAGCAGTGCTCAGCAACCAGTGGATCTCATCGATTCATAGATTGTAAGACTGGAAGGGAGCTTGGAAGATGTCCAGCCTCCTGCACCAAGCAGGAAAGACAACTGGGGTCAGATGACCCCAGCAAGGTGCCTATCCAGTCTCCTCTTGAAGGTTTCCAGGGTAGGCGATTGCACCACCTCTGGAGGGAGCACAGTCTGGACACTGTAGTTGTGAAGTGGTTTTTCCTAATGTTGAGCCTGACAGTCTTCCAGGAGTTTATGACCGTTACTCCTAGTTTTCCCCAAGGGTGCCCTGGTGAATAGATGTTCACCGAGCCCTTGATGGTAGCATCTTACCACTACATCAGAAGCATACAAGTCCCCTTTCAGCCTTCTCTTTTTCAGGCTGAAGAGTCCAAGATCCCTCACTCTTTCCTCGCATGGCTTTCCCCACAAATCTCTGATCATACAAGTGGCCCTTCTCTGGACTCTCAAGCTTTACTATGTCCTTGTTAAAGTGCAGCACCCAGAACTAGACATAGGACTCCAGCTGCGGTCTCACCAAAGCTGAGTAAAGTGGAAGAATCACTTCTTTGGTTTTGGTGGAGATGCATCCATTGATGCATGCCAGGGTATTGTTAGCCCTGATGGCTACAGTGTCGGACTGCTGGTCCACATTCATAGTCTGGTCAATTATTACCCCCAGGTCCCTTTCATTCATAGTGCTGGTCAGGTTGGCATTGCCAAGCCTGTAGGTGTGCAGGGGACTGTTTGTCCCCAGATGGAGCACTTCACATTTCTCAATGTTGAACTTCATCTGGTTCCGAGCCACCCAACTTGCAAGCCTGTCTAGGTCCACCTATATCTGCAGCCTACCTTCAAGCGCGACCACGCTTCCCCATAACTTGGTGTCATCCGCAAACTTGGCCAGTGAGCTCTTCACCCCCACATCCAAATCACTGATGAAGATATTTAAGAGCACTGGACCCCTGTGGGACACCACTCACCACTTCGTGCCAAAACGACAGAGATCGATTCACACAGGCCCCGCAGTCAGTTTCCTACCCACCTGTCTCGCAGTTAAGCCCACAGTCTTCCAATTCTCTTGTGAGGACATTGTGGGATACCAGATCTAAAGCTTTTTGGAAGTCAAGGTATATAATGTCAACCTCCTTCCTCTTATCCAGGTGGCGAGTCACCTGATCGTAAAAGGAGATGAGGTTGGTAAGATGAGATCTGCCTGCGACGAAGCCATGGTGGCTGTCGTTCAGAATCCTACCTTCTGCAAGCCTACCGCACGTAGACTCCTTAGTTCATTTTTCCAGGATTTTCCCTGGGATAGAAGTTAGGCTAATTAGCCTATAGTTACTCAGGTCCTCCCTCCTCCTCTTCTTGAAGATGGGCACAACATTGGTCCTCTTCCAGTATTCGGGGACCTCCCAAGAGCACCATGAGATCCACCGGTAGATCTCGGAGCCTCCTGGAGTTGATCTGAGGCTGGGTGGGAGGCTGAGTGCCCGTGTGCATGCACGTGCATGCCCCAGCCCAGCAGGTCAGTCCGTGGGGAAGGGAAGGGGTGGGGGCTAGATTGAGGCCCCTGCAGTGAGGGACAGTCCCACAGAGCAGAAGCAGAGGTAAGCTGAGTGGGGCCCTGGCTGGGTGGGACTTAGCTGCTGGGGAGATACACCCCCAAATTTTTTCTCCCTCTGCCTTGACCTGCCCCCCCTCTTCCCTCCCCACAGACTTACCTTCTGGGTGGGGAGTGGCACACGGTAAATCTTGGTTTGCTTTTAAATGCCAAAGGTGATCTCCTACTTACAAAGGTTGGAGACGACTGTGTTACAGCCTCCATTGCAAGCATCTCTAGCTTCTCCAAATGCCACCCTATGAGCCTCTTTAATAATATTTAACTTACCTATCTTCTCTCTTTATGCTTCCCTAATCTCATCATCCTTTCCCTTTCCCCACAATTTTTTCTAATCTCAACCTCTTCCACATCCCACCCACCCCCACAACCCCAGCTCATCTTACTGTTATTTCTTTCTCCATTGCCAGCTCGTTCCCTTTCATTGCTGAGGAGTCATAAAAACAATAGAGCCTTACATCTTTATTAAGCATGCAACACTAAAATTAAAATCCAAGCACTGAAAGTTGCCTGGCTTTTTAAGTTTTGAACATGCTGTTCCTGGAATCCATCTGCCTCCATTAGAGAGTTAGCTTTCTTCCAGCCTCTAACAGCTCAGGTTTTGATATGTTAATTGGGATGTTTATTAATATGACCTTATTTTAATTGCATCAGGCCTCAGATGGTTCAAGGTGGGGACTTATAAATAAATAATATTATTGGAAAGAGCACTGTTGCACAAAGTACCTGCCTTTTATATGCTGCTGCTTGCTGTGAAGTCTCAAGCCTCACACTGTGCTCCATAGGAATAATATTCTCAATATATAGCATTTTCTTCTGGCTGGGATCACTAGAGGCTACAGCACCTATGAGATCAGCTCATCTTGGCACAGGGAAACAGTAAATATGGCATATTAGGCTTCATTATCTCCTTGTGTATCACTAGATGATCTCTAAGGTTGGGGGTGGCCTGGAATAGTTCACATTTCTCAATGTTGAACTTCATCTGGTTCCAGTCCACCCAACTTGCAAGCCCCCCTAATATGAGGGCATATTTAAT